AGCCAAATATAGACAGAGAGGATCAAACACACCGAGGAATCCAGAACTGCTGAGGCCATGGAAATGTCATAGTTTGGACAGCAACCAATCAAAAGATAAATAACATAGGCCATAAGGTCAAGCAGATATTCAGTTCTGACAATTACCTTTTGACCGGGAAGAAACTTTAAAGAGCTTTCCCTCAAGAGATTAAATAAACTGTGGGAAATGGCCGTGACAGGCCACATTTCAGATTGTCTCCTGGCAGCCAATTTGCGCAAAGCACTGCCCCACAAACAGCCATGAAGTGAATGACCTATTTTATTTGAAGGATCGTTGGCCAAGACAACAAGAGAAACACCCTTCTCTTTTCGAATAGTGCGATGAGATCTTTAATCTCCAACTGAACAGGCAGACGTGAACTTGCTTTAATGTCTCATCCAAACCATGGCACCTTTAACCATGCAATGCACTGTATTGAAGTGGCACCATAGACTGTGAACTCGAAGTCTTGAGACTTGAAATTCCATTTAGTCTTATCTCACAACACCTCTTGTAATTGCATGGTTTGTATGAAAATTCTTAAACTCAGTCTTATTATTTGGAAGTCGCTTTGCCCTCACAAACCCACACCCCTCCCAACAAGAACCCGGTTTCCAAATTAAGGCTGGATCAAAGTTTATCCTCTCATCTGCATTGTTTGAAATATTACAACAGAATGATCTAATAAAGACAGTGATGAATGTTATGATAAATTCTGTGAAGCACTTTGAGATGTCCTCCTGATATAGAACGTGCTACATCAAATATAATAATAATAATCCTTGTATTTGATATGGCGTCCTATCACGTCTTCGAGACGTTTCAAAGCGCTTCACAGAATATACTGTAAAGTGAGTGTTACTGAATATTTTGTGGTCAGAATGTTATTATTATTATTGTTTTTAAATAGTTTTCAGTGATGGGTCAGCCAGAACAATAATATGTAAAAGGCACTGTACATATGAATGGATGTTATCTTTTCTTAATATATTTGAGCTTCCTAAAATGACTATTTTTTTGCAGAAGTTTGGTATTTTTTTTCACCAGGTATTTTGTTAAGCCATTTCTGAATAGTTTTATCAATGGTCCCATTGCACCGATGATTATAGGAACTGTGTTTGTTTTACATTGCCACATAGTTCCGCATTCAATTTGTAGATCGATATATTTCCTGATTTTCTCTAGTTCCTTATTTTTTACATTGCAACCACATGCGATAGCCACATCAATAATACTGCATGTTCAACCTATTTGATTCTTCATGATAATACCTGGTCTGTTACAGCTGATTGTCCTGTCTGTCAGTATGTAATTGTGAATCCCAGATTATTGTGATTTTGTCTCTTGATGTCACTTTTGCTGGTTGATGTTCATGCGGCATGATCTTTACATCAATATCAAAGTGTTTTATTGATAGTTTATTAATGTCGATGATGACTGTTTGTGGGACATTGCTGTGCACAATTAGCTCCTGCTTTTCGTCCACAAAATACATAGTCAATCCGCTTTACAGTATATTCTGTGAAGCACTTTGCGACGTCTCAAATGACGTGATAACAAGTGCACGGATCATTATTATTATTACTATTACTGCAAGTCCGCATGGAGGTAAAGAGGACAATCTTACAGACCTCAAGAGTACGTGCCTACATGAATACACCTCTGCAATAGGAGCAGATTAATAAAAGCACTCAGTTAATCTGCCCTCAAAGACCTTGGTTCATCACGAGCCTGACAGAAAGGCTTAACTGGCTAAGATTAAAAATTCATCAGTTCCTGATCAATGCTGCTATCAGACTTCACTGACCCTCGCTCTTCACCGCTGATTTACAGCTATCTTAAGATGACATAGAACGATAGCACTAATAAGGGCCTTAATATTTAAAATTTGGAAGCCAACACAGTCTTTTATCTTCCGATCGGCCTTGTCTCCGAGACAAATGTTGAAGTGTTCTCCACGGCATTACTTTACAAATATGTCATTGATGTTTAAACAAATAGAGATTGCTGGAGATTTATCTCACCTTGTCATTCCAACTACAATCAGCGAGGTCCTGTTTAGTGACTTCCATTCTCTGCTGTATTGCAATACCCTGCAAGCGACACTCTGCACCCTGAAATTATATCGATTAAAGTCATATGTACAGGTCATCTGTTTGTTAAATAACAAAAGAAATAATAATAGTAATTTGGTCACTCAATCCACCATTGTTTATTGGACACTTACATGCGCAATTGGTTGCTGCATTCTGCTCACAAAATTTGCTTGACAGTGTATTCTGTGACGAGCTTTTAGATGTCTCAATGGTGTGATATCAAATCAAGAATTTTTATTTTTATTAATAATAAGCAATAGTAATCCTTGCATTTTAATATAGATTATATAGCATAAGGAAGATGTCTCAAAGCGCTTCACAGTAATTTCACTGCAAAGTGTATAGTGACTGTATTTTATAGGCAAATGCGGTAGCAAATTTGCGCACAGCAATGTCTCTCTCATTAAACGCCGTGAAGTGAATGATCAATTTTATTTGTGGGAATGTTGGCTGGAGCACTAGGAGAAACTCCCTTGACATTTTGAATAGTGCTTTGGGGTCTTTAATGTCCACCTACAAGAAATTTGAGACATGAATTAGGCAGAAACACAATTCATCACCTGTAATCAGCAGTGGGTGCCGTTTGTCCACCTATAAATTCCTTCACACTCTAGCACTTTCTGACCTCTGTGATCTTGTCCTGCCCCACGCCTCCTCTGCTCAACAAACTCAGGCACCTCCATGTCCCCGACCCCAGTGAACCTAACCCCTGGAACTCTCTCCCTCTACCCCTTCGTCTCACGCCCTCAGGATCTGTCTTGAAATCCCAGATTAAAATTTACCTTTTTGGCCACACCTATGGTTGAAGCGCTCTGAGATGTCGTCCGGCGTGGAGGGGCTCTATAAATCCAAGTTGTTGTTGTTGTTTTTGTTGGTTACCCCCCCACATACCTCCCTTATTCAGCACCCTACTACGACCTCGTGAATCACTCCGAAACGTTATCGAACCCGAATGGTGCGAGTTATTATTGCAGTTTTTATAGATTTATAATGGGAAATGACTTTGTTTTACCTATGTGCACAAGAGAGAATTACTGAGGTGATTATATCTTTAACAGCCAGTGAAGAGGATCTGATTTCCCAGCAGTTACTTTTACCTCTGGCTAATCTGTTTCAGGATTGTCGGTGCGTTAGTGTCTTCCGAGGTACCAGTCTGGCTCGGCAGAGCACCGACAGCACGTGACCACAAATTACATTCTTGTAGCGCCTTTCACGTCGCGAGAACGTCCCAAGGCGCTGGACAGTGAGGGGGTTTGCACCCGAGCTGCAGGTTTGCGCACGTTTCATCGTTGGATTGTTTTGCAGCGCTGTGTCAGGAGAAGTTGTTAGAATGAGGAAATTCGGACTGCAGTTATGGATTAAACCACAGATGTGCCTGCCAGGTTATGGATTGCGTTACCGTACATAATAGCGAGGTTACGGTGATCTGTCACTCCACTGTCAGCCTCCCAGGTTATTTTAAAAGGGTCGTGATACCACATATCAAATCTTTAATCACTCTGTGTTCAAAGCGACATTTGCCCTCCCTGCTCCCCCCACCACACACACACATACACACGCACACTTTATTACAAAAGCCTGACTTGTTTTTTTTTTTGGCAACACGTGTGCAGCAGGTCTCCAGGGCTGTGTGAGAACAGGTAGCGCGGTAGGAATGAAAATAATCCTCTAGAAACGGGGCCTTGACAAACAAAGCCAGGGTCTGTGATGATGCATAACCCAAATTAACATATGACTGGCGTATGAAGTGAGCTGTCAGGTGCACTGACGGCTCTAGTCATTTTAAATCCACTTGACAAAGTGGGTGGCGATTTGGTGAAGAATTCAAATTAGGGCATTAGAGAGAGAGTGGTGTCGTGTTATTTATTGATTATTTGTGTTTTAACTCAGGAACTGGCTACATAGATCAGCCAAAATGTTCTCTCTCTTCTTTTCTCTCTCCCTCTCTCTCTCTCTCTTTTTCTGGTCCCGTACATTTCTGTGTTCCGATCTTCACTTTTCCTCACGTTTCTCCCACAAAATATGCGGTCAATTCACTTCACAGTATATTCTGTGAAGCGCTTTGAGACGTCTAGACGACATGAAAAGCCCTATATCAAATGCAAAGATTATTATTATTATTATTATCATTCACTTTTCCATTTTCCAGACAGATCCATTTTTCCTTGCTTAAGCTCCACATCGGGTTTTAAAACCGCGAGCAGCTAATATAGTCTACAACACCCCCCCAGCACTGAACTGGAGTATCAGCTTAGACTATGTGATCCCAATTCTCTGACATGGGGCTTGAACCCACAAACTTCTGACCCAGAGCCGAGAGCGCTACCACTGAGCCAGGATGAGACACGAGGCCAGTGATGGCCAATTTTATGGTCGGCCAACAAAAACAAATCTTGATTAAATATTTCTTAATTGATGCCAATCAAGAAACAACTGAAAAACCCACTACCAATCGAGCACAGACTTACCTCGACTAGTGCGAATGTTCAGGGTGGGGTGTGGGGGCTTATTGACAGTCCTATGGGCCAAAGGTTGGCCACCACTGACCTATACAATGATTCAATAACAACTTTCAAAAGGGGATTGAATACATACTTCAGAAAACGAAAAAATGTGCAGAGCTATGGGATAAGAGCAGAGGAGTGGGACGAGTTGGATAGCTCTTTCAAAGAGTCAGCACAGGCACATTGGGCCAAATGGCCTCCTTCTGTGCTGTAAGGACAGCACCTTGGGACCTTGTTCGGTGCCTTGGGACATCCTCCCGCTGTGAAAGGTATTTTACAAATGTAATTTTGTATTGTGTATTATAACTTTCCATGATTCTATGATCCTATGACCTGTGTACAGGAACTGTGTTTCGATTTTCTCTCTTCCTCTTCACAGACAGACCATGTGATGCTTTCGGGTGCAGGTGCCAACCAGTTCGCTGCGAGCCTGGGTATAGAAGAGGTGTCCACGGAGGAGCTGGTGACACAGCACGCCCGGGAGGAGTGGGGGCAGTACAAGTACAGTGATGCAGTGTCCAATCTGTTTAACATGGAAGCGTAAGTCCCATTACAGCTTTACCCACAAAATAATGATTTCACCATAGCAAGGAAGAGTAACCACTACTGCTATTAATAATAATCCCTGCATTTGATGCAGCACCTTCCATATTAGGAAGATGGCTTGTGAATGATCACAGCAGCCAATTTGCACACAGCAATGTCCCACAAACATTGAGTGACCAATTTTATTTGGGGGATTGTTGACCAGGACACTGGGAAAAACTCCCTTCTCTTTTTGAAGTGTGTAGTGGGATCTTTAATGTCCACAACATTTAGCTAACACCTTTTAATGTCAGGGGAACATCTCAGAGTATTGCACAACTAACTATGAGCTGCCCTTGGGCCTGCAGCTGAGTGGGGGGTAGGGGTGGGGGGGTTGAGGAAGAGATAGGTATTAAGCTTACTTTGGAATAAGGATGGAAGGAGCCTTTCGTTAGGACCCTGGGATGGATTTCCAGAGAGCAGGAGCGAAATAGCTGAGGTAGATAGAGCAGGAGACAAAAAGCAGGTCGGTGTTCACGGAGCAGATGGAGAGGCTGGGGTGGCAGGGTTGCAGGATTGCAGAAGGGTGGGGAAAGCCACCGTCGTTGAACCAAGGTCCAGTCATTTGAACATGTGGAATCCTGTACCTTAGTGGTTAGAGCACTCACCTCGCAATCGAGAGGACTTGGGATTGAATCCCAGCAAGGTGAAACATTGGGCAAGTTTCCTTACTCCACTCACCTCATTTACCTAGGAGTAAGTAGGAACCCAGTTGTTAGTCGATTGGTGGATTGCTTTCCGGGGGGAAATAATTCCTTCAAAATAAATAAAAATAATTTGGTGCTTAATCGACGATTGTTTGTGAGACACTGCTGTGCGCAATTGGCTGCCGCATTTCACCCACAAAATACACAATCACTACACTTTACAGTGTATTCTGTGAAGCGCTTTGCGACTTCTTGAAGATGTGAAAGGCGCTATATCAAATGCAAAAATTATTACTATTATTATTATAATATGACTCGATCCTGCTCTGTGCTGAGCCGCTTTCATCTGCCATATAAGAAGATGGAATGGTGAGATCGGAAGAAAAAATATTTCTAAAAAAAAATCTGTGACCGATGGCGCGTGAAATCAGGCTGAAAATGTAAAAAAAATCCAATTTGCAGCCACAATATGAAGCAAGGAACACAGTACACATGCAGGGTGAGTCACTGCACAAGGATTTTTCTTCTGCCGGTTGGAGACGGAGATCATTAGAGAACCCCAGAACATTGTAGACAGACAGTGATCTTAGTGACAAGCTATGCGGTTTTAAACGTACGCATGTAGGTGGCAAACACTCTTGCCTACGAGTCGGAAGGGTTGTGGGTTTAAACCCCACGTTGAGACTTGGAACTCGTAAAGTTTAATCTGACGTTCCAATAGAGCGCTGGGGGTGCGCTGATTGTTGGAGGTGCCGACCTTCGGGTGAGATGTTAAACTGATATGTCTGCCTGCTCAGGTGGACGTTAAAGATCCCACGGCACTATTCGAAAGGAGAAGGGAGTTTCTCCCATGTCCTGGCTGACAACAAATTCCCCCAAATAAAATCGGTCGTGCATTTCATGTATGTTTATGTGACATTGCTGTGTGGCAAATTGGTTGCCGTGTTTGCCCACAAAACGCACAGACGCTGGCCTTTACAGTGTATCCCGTGAAGTGCTTTTCGACCTCCTCCCGTTTGATTGATGCTTTTTCAAATTATGATGAAACATGCGTGGAACTCGCAGTCGGTTGTCGATACTCTCGAGCACGGAGACGGGTTTCCCCGCACGTGAGGGAAATCTGGCCGAGGTAACTTTTGTAGCAAAAGGAGTGCGAGTGAGCAGCTGAAGGACTTGCCATGAGTTAGAGCTTGAGATGCCCGCAGTGTGCAGCGATGTGTACAATGAGGCGCCAGCAGCAATTCTGACTGCGGCTGCAATTATAACACGAGAGGTGCCTGCAATGAGTCAGTGCAGCTAATTGGAATTTGGCATTTGCGTGCGCTTTAGTGATGGATTTCATATTTCACTCTGTGGTGCGTCGTTCACAAGCCGTGGGGTGGGTGCGTGGGGGCTGACGGAGGGTGGGTGGGGGTTGAGGGGGGCTTGGGGTGGGGGGAGTGTTCTGATTTTTTAAAAAAAAACATGAAATTGCCTGGGTTTCAACAACAACAACAACGAAATTACATCTATAGAGCGACTTTCACGTCGGGAGGATATCCCAAGGCGCTGGACAGTCGGGGGTTAGGACCCGAGCATGGGGGAGGGGTGGGGAAGGCAGAGAGGTGGGAGGGCGACTGAAGGCATGATCGAACAGGAGGTTCTTGAGACCGGCCTTGAAGGAGACAAGGAAGGAAGAGAGGCGAAGGGTCTGGGATGGAGTTCCAGAGTGGGGGGACAGAGCGATAGTAGGGCGGGCAGGAGACATGGAGCAGGCTGGAGCCCGCTGAACGGAGGGAGTGGGCAGGTTGGTAGGGAATGTTTGGTGGTGTCCAGTGGGGTGTTGCTCTCTGCCTTTCCTCTCCCTTCCTTCTTCTGTTTGTCCGCTCGCACTGCCTTCAATCAGCTTTTCAGAACTCACCATCTGTGACATGAAATTCGTTGTCATTTAATCACCTTTTTTCTGTTGTAGTAGCATTTAGGATTGTGCAGAACTGTGCAAAATTCTTGCATACAGTCTTAATTTGGAAGACCTTAAGACCTAACTCTTCAAATGCACTTTTTGTCATATTTTCCACCCGGGAATTGAACCCGGGTCCTCTCGTTTGCGAGGCAAGTGCTCTAACTACGATGCTATGGGGCTTCACAAGATGGCCTCAGACTAGGTGGAATTTCTGGTTAATGGATTAATGGACATTTTGGGGACAATGGGTGGACCTTCTTAAACGTTTACAAATGTTAAAATGATGATTCAATAGCAATTTCCAATATCAAGAGACTAAAACACCTAAAGCTGAACCTTGACTACACAATACAGTGTTCATTTATATCGTGCCTTTCACATCAGGAGAACGTCTCAGAGCACTTAAGCTTTCTTGATTAAGCAAAGGCGTACACAGAAGTAAATTTTAGTTAAGTGACTTCCTGTACCAAAGGAACTACTGAACAAGAATAATAATAATAATAATAATAATCCTTGTATTAGATATAGCGCTTTTCACGTCAGGAGGACGTCCCAAAGCGCTTCACAGAACACACTGTAAAGTGAATTGACTGTATATTTGTGGGCGAACGCGGCAGCCAATTGCGCACAGCAATGTCCCACAAACAGTCGTAGATTGAAAATGACCAATTTAATTATTGTTTTTGGTTTTTTCTTTTTTTTTTGGAGGGATTATTATTAGGCGTGTGGAGTAAGGAAACTTGCCCAAGGTTTCGCCCTCTGCCTGGAATTGAACTCAGGTCTCTCGCTTGCAAAGCGAGTGCTCTAACCACTGAGCTACAGGACTCCACAACAATGTAATGTACACAATGTACAGAACCAAAACAATATTAAAATTGTAGGTAAAAATAAAAATATAATTATAATCCTTTTATCTGATGTAACACCAATAACATTGAAATGTCTCAAAGCGCTTCATCAGATTTACTGTAAAGCGTAGTGACTGTGCAAACCCAATAACCAATTTGTTCACACCAATGTCCTGCAAACAGTTGTGAAGTGAATAATTAATGTTATCTAGGGGATTATTGGCCAAGACACCAGAGAAACTCCCTTCTCTTTTGGAATAGCACCATAGGATCTTTAATATTCACCTGACTGACAGATGGGACCTCGGTTTAATTTCTTATCCAAAGGATAGCACCTCCGACTATGCAGCTATCCTCCAGCACTGTCCTGGAGTGTCAGTCGAGATTAACGTAAAAGGAAGAACTATCTCTCAAAGCATCTTCACAAGTAGTTACTGTCAAATGTAGTGACTGTTATTTTTTGGCCTAGGCAACAAGCATTTGCACTGGGAAGGTCCCATAAATGGTCATAGGGCGGCGAATGAAAGACCAATTAATCCGGAGAGTTGCCTGGCTATCACACTGTGTAAATAATTACATTCTCTTATCAAATAGCATCACAGGGTCTTTTACTCTCCACCTGAACCGGCAGCCAGGGCTGTGTTTAACCTGGAAGACAATACAGTTTGGGCTCAGGACTAAACTATAATACCAATAATAACCCTTACATTTGGTATAGTGCCTTATATGTCACGAGGACGTCTCAAAGCGCTTCACAGAATATACTGTAAAGTAAATTAACTATACAGTTCTGAGACGCTACCCTATGTGTAGGGCGCAATATAAGTGCAAGTTGTTGTTGTCGTGTTTTGTGGGCGAAGCTGTCATCTGAAAGACAATACAGTTTTGCGCTAGTACTGTACTATGATAATTATCCTTACATTTGGTGTAGCGCCTTTCTCATCAGGAGGACGAGACCTGGATTGTGTGCTCCACACTCCTGCGGGCTGAGTAGTATTTTGTTCTATTCAGTTAGATGTGGGAACGTGCCTCTATGCATTTATGACACTCCTGAATGAGAACCGAATCAATAGTAAAATTGTACGTGAAAATAAAAGTGTTATTATAATCCTTTTAGCTTATGTCACAGCAATAACATTGAAATGTCTCAAAGTATTCGCTCTGTTAGTGACTTTGAGTCCCTCTTAGTGAATCCTAGAATCAACCAACTGCTTTGACTCAATTGTCTGGTAATAAAGGTTGAAAACTTAAAGGCTTTAGGTGTGATTATTGATCATTTACTGAAAAATATCCAATCAATATGAAGCTGTTAGCAACAAAGCTAATTGAGTCTCAGAATGCATCACGTGGCAATGGGAATGTAAGTTCAAACAAATTATTCTAACCTTGTATCGATCAGCAGTGTAGCTTCTCTGGGAATATTTTGTGTGGCTGTGAGCTCCGACAACAACAACAAGATTACATTTGTGTAGCGCCTTTCACGTTGGGAGGACATCCAAGGCGCTGGTCAGAGTACAG